CGTTAGTTACAATATTATTGATTTCAATAAATTGTAATGTCAATATATTATAAATTGTCGTTGTTGTATTTGATGCAGCGAGGACGCAGCCTACGATTGAATATTTTCAAATTTGTTGTTTCAGTAAGGTCAAGCCAGAGGAAAGGAATATTATTTGTTACTTTTATTGGGAAGGTAAAGAGTAAGTTCGGTGTCAACATCGAGAATATGATCTCAAATGGAGAGAGTATACAAAATTAAGTGTTCGTTTGAAGTATGGAATGGACGCAGACATGTGGCCTGTTATATGTTACCTGCTGTCGACAAATTTTATTTTCCCATGGGGTTCCGTTCCACCTCACTTAAGTGACTGAAAGAATAGTTTCAACGATTCAAAGATTCGGGTGAACTCAAACACTCCCTTCGTGTATGCTCTTGAAGTGATTCTAAACCTTCCTCGAAAATAGAGAACTCCACTCTTGCGGGTAAATACTGTCAGAATTTAGTCATAAGGCAGCTTTTTAAACTGCCGGATTACTGTAATATATTTAAAGATGAGTTTATTACTTTGGGAAAACCAAAAAGATGGCAACGTCCCTAGTTTTATCCAGCAACACCTAAACTAAATATATATATCTTATAGTTAAACCGTTAAATAAACAAAAATATTATACTCTTCTAAAACATCTTGAGAGAGTGCTGAAGAATATTATAATTAAAATTATTTTTCCAATTTTATTGGCTCTTTTCTAAGCTACCTTTTTATACAGCTAAATAATTATAAATTATATGTTTATTTTACCGTTATATTAGTTCTTGTTGTTGGATACATATGTAGTGGCCTTACTGAACAGTTATACAGTTATGAGCAGCTATATCAAAATTTACATGTAAATACTGTTGGTCTGAACCTAATTATAAATTTCGACATAGTTAAACCGAAATTTTTATATAAGAATGAAGAAGGATATCCATCCGAAAAATTGCATTATGAAAAGAGATAAGAATATGATTGAAAATTGTCTAAAAGACACCGAAAACTATTATAAAACACCTCAAACAGAAAGAGAGTGCTTAACCTAAACTTTTTGCAAAACACAAGTTAACACGACTTCAATTTGCAGAAAAGTACTTTTTCTGGAACACCGAGTGGCAATCCGTCGTATTTATTGACAAGAAAAAGTTTAATTTAGATAGGCCCGGCGGTTTTCAATATTACTATGGTGATATGTATCGTTAGAAACTTTCAAGGAGGATCGGTGATGATATAGACCGCATTTGGACATAATTTAAAGACTCCAGTTCGTTTTGTGTAACATAAGATGAACTCAGAAAAATGCGTAGAGCTTCTGGATAACTTGGACTTTTCAACAGGATATCGCACAAATTCATAAAGCGTGCTTAATCGATGCTAAATATATGGGCCATTTGATCCAAAAAAGTGTATGTCGATAGAGCCATCCAAAAGGAATGGGATAATTTAGATCTGTCTTTATCGCAAAATTTGATTTTTAGTTTTAAAATATCCAATATATCTATAAAAAACAGTTTGTATTTCTTACAGATTGCGAAAAACGGTTGTGCCACATAACTATTTCGCGCACTTTACATTTTACTTAACAGAGATGTCTCCCTTTTGCATTCAATTACGTCTGCTCCAACTCCACTTTTCCACTTTTCTCTAACCCTAAAATTATGCAACATTATTAACTCGCCACCAATTATATATATATGTTTTTTTTTTTTTTTTTTTTTTTATACATAAAAGAACCCATAATATAGGTAGTCTCATAAATGCCCATTGAAATCTACTAATGATTATATGGTATCATAAACGAACGTATTCTTCGATATTAACATATTGTCCGATTACACGATAAGCTCTGAATGTTACGCCAGTTTATAGTACAGTTATTCGGTTGATTTTACAGCCATAATTTAACAACAATATTGAAAATTGCTCCCTATTCTACGCATCATTAATTAATAATAATACAAAATTGGCAAATTTGGCCCGCCTGATTTTTTTTTTTTATCTCTCTTGTATTTAACTTTCAAAAGTTCATGAATTTTTCTCAAAGTTCCATGTTAAGTAAAAGGTTATGTGGCAAAGGAATAACGGCAGTTATAAAGCAATATATCCACACACATATAAGGGTCCTGTTTCGTTAACGAAACCATTTGCAAAAACAGTTTGCTAGATCAAACCAATGAGTCAGGGAAAATGTTTCAAATTGTTGTGAATCAGCACTAATGACATTGAAAACTTATCGCCGATTCATATTCCTATTGTATATGCGCCGGCCACTATAGCCAATTTAACGTCATATGTTAAATTTACTAAATTTCCGTACTTAATAAAATTCAAATTATTTTTTATTGTTTTGCAAATTGTGACCAATTGCCATCACTGACGTGCACAATTTGGTCAGTTTTTTTTATCTTCTTAATGTGTCACGTCGTGCCATGAAGTAAGTGAAACACAGAAATACGTTAACATCGACTGCACCGAAGCTAACCCTTCATAAATACAAAAGTTTCACCACAAGAACTTGAATGATAGTTCAGCTTGCATGCTATATGCTATAGAGATCCAGTCTGAACAATTTCAATTCAACAATTACACTTGTGCCATTGACAATAACCCATAAAAAAAGGCGTGAAGAAATCTCCTGACACGAAAGGCAACTGTCCCTACCAACATTTCGTTCCGATCGTTAAGCCGTACCTCCTTCACCTTCTTCAAAGCCCTTTTCAAGCATACATTGAAAAAAGTTTCATTAGGCGCAGGAAAACATCAACCATGATTGGAGCAATGAATGTAATATTTAAGATGAGTCCATTTTTGTTTAGTTCAACGCCTTGAGATGCGCTGGGCTTAGAAAAGGACAAACATTAATTCAAAGAAGTCTTAAGCATCCTCAAAAGGTGCATGTTTATGGACCCTAAGTAATAAAATTGTATAAGGAGAGTTTACTGCAGTCAAATGATATGCTTCACTGTAAAATAACCATGATTGGATATTGCGAGAGGACAATGATCCGAAATATAGAGCAGACTCTGTATTCAATAGAAACAAGAAAAAAAAATTGCTTTATTCATGTCCAAAATAAAAATGAAATCATGAAAAAATTAAACGTCAACAAGACATTGTATGTGGCTACGTCAACATACTTGAAGGTCGCTTCCTGTGGAATATGCCAGTCTATAATACACAACGTGGGAGGCACGAGCAAGTATTGGATAGAATTCAGTATTTTATAGCAGTACATTTTCTATAAATAAAACAGCTTTCTCAACAGACGCTACCTTGGAAAACTAAAACGTCACTACCTTATTATACTTCATATGCTAAATATTAATTAAATCGGTTGGTAGAAATATGGTAGTTTCCTTGGTGCCACACTCTATACTAAGTTAACCAGATGTGAAATATGTATGAAATTATATGGACAAATAGGCACGGTCCAGTTTTTAATCACAACTCCGGCTCTACGAGCAGCTTTCAACTTTATGTTTTCAGAGCTTGTGCTGAGTTTCCTCATAATTTCGGGTAAATAAAATTTTAAGCAATTTTGGCATATGCAATTTGACAACAATCCTATATCCCAGAAATAACTGAGGTCTAGACCAAACAGCAACTTTTCAACCTTGTACGATTTAAAACATCGCTTTTAAGTGTAAAATCAGTGATGGTCTAACGATGTGTCATCAAGCCACCGAAACTATCGAAACCTATAATATTTCTAATGAATGAAATCACTTTTGCAAACGTTCCGATTATCGTACTTATCAATAATTTATAATCTGAAGCTATTCAACTGCTTTACGGCCAAGCTCTTAATTTCGACGTGTACTGTATAGAAGTGTGCTGTTTGAAATTAGCAATCGCCCAGGAACGGTCTGTGCTGACCAATACCAAGAGGAATATTATACCATTAGAACTACACCAGGCCACACATATTGCTAGTGACTTTCCAGAAGCTCCGAGAGCTTGGTTAGGATATGTACCCACCTTATAGTTTATGTATGGAAAAAGTTGTCTCAAAAGAAGCTGTCACAGTGTTTTGCCTATAGGGTTACTACGATCATCTAACTGACTAAATAAATTTGCGTAGAAAGTTATGCATACTTACTAAGTGTAAAGAAAGCTTATCGAATGCCAATATTTTTACGATTTAAGCTCATAAGCGTCTTGTTTAAAGCACTTTCTTTCTGCAAACAGTCTATAAGTGGCGAAACGAACAGTCAAGTGTCATAAACACAAAGGCATTCCAAACGTAGTCTCAGAAATATATAAAAGCATTAAAATTATTGAGATATGTCAACACTTACAAGTACCAAAACAAGCTCGCTAATCATCTAATTAGTCGCTTAACTAAACTTGTGATTATCGCTGTAAACTACATTATACATTACGATTACACTACTTCATTTTTTATACGAACAAGGTGGTGCTTAAATAAACATCAAGTACACTAAGTGTACTTAAGTACTACCTTTCAGATATAACATTTCACTATATAAAATTTTAGTTTTATTGATTTCCTTATGGTCCACTTTTAACCACCTGATTTTTACTGTGGCCGTACGAAAGTGACGTCTTTTGATAGCACGTATGAAGACACGAGACGTACACCACCATTAATAAGTTGAAGAATAGTGCTTCCCAAAAAATCGACCGCTTATCAAACTTTAAACTTTTAACCAAGCGCCAGGTAATTAATTAATTGAACGCCGAGGTGCCGTCATGTCAGGCGCAGTAAATAATTGCCTTAGGTATGTATTGCTCATATTGGCTCACATGAAATTAAAATATGATTATACTCGTAAATTTGAAAATTGTTATCTGATATCTAATAAAAGTGTCGACAGACATAAATACCAACAAGCAAGCGTAAAAGCACAATGCAAAATGACCGCTGAATTGTGGGGCTGGCTATCTTATCTAGCCGATTTGACTAGAAAATTTTACCAATTCGCAAATATGAATAAGCCAGCTAACGGATAGTAAAGACAGTTACTTTCGTGAGCTGCAAACAAACGCATTGCAAGTTTTAAAATTTTGCAAATAATTTAAAATAATGGCGGTGGAACTTTTGAGAATTCTTATTTGGCCGATATTTGGTGTTCTGCTCAGCGCAAATCTCGCTTGTGGCAAGCCCGTATCAACATTGCTGGACGCTGAAGAGATAGCGGGCATGTTTGAAGGCGATATGGTCTTAACGGCGGATCAAGAACGTCTGCTAAGAAGTCCGCTGCAAGGCCGAAATGGTTTGGTTGACGAGACCAAGCGGTGGCCGAATCGTATTGTTTACTACAAAATTGTCGGCGATTTTGGTACGTGCAAAGAACTACAATGTCTTAAATGTATTGTGAAAGGTTAAAGAAAAATCCGTCAAGTAAATTCGTTAAAAATATCGTATTATTAAGTGGAACATCGCTCGATGACAAAAATTTGCTCTGTTTTTTACTATCAAGTGCACAAAGTTTAGTGAGAACTCCAAGAATAAAGACTGTTACATTTGGCATAAGAAAACGGGAAACTCTGTCGTTCATTGAAGTCCTATACATACTTGCAGGAATTATGGTAATTTCAGTTCTACACAAATCAATGAAAAATTAGATAATTGAATTTTTTAAAACTTACAATTAAAGCTGTTCGAGCCAAATATGTAGATAACCCAGTGAATGTTTTGAAAATTTGTGATTTTCATTGAAGTTGTTGTGAAACACGCGATTTCACCATATTTGTAGATACAGTTGAAGCTGACGTCTTAAATTTTATTTTGAAGTCGATGAAGTTGAAATATGAAAAACGCACATTAAAATAACTCTCTCACTTTTATAGTAGTAAATACTTGTATTTATAACGCCATATAATGCATTAATTTATGATACCAACATTTTATAACGCATGGGTTTTGTCAACTATTTCGACTTTGAAATTGCCTAGTGAGGGGGTTAAAGTAAAGTGAAGATTGAGGAATGTTTTAAATGAAGATGGATTAACTTGAACAGTGATTTTACTATTATGCAAGTTACTATATGAAAAAGTATAAAGAAACCAAAGAGATAGGACGACGGGTTTTGAGGATACTCAAAACTCAAAAGAAAATATTCACCCGAGAATTTGCTTATTTCTAATTGAATTACAGTTGGCCCATCCACTATAAATATACTTCAGAGAAGTGCAAAGTATACATAAATATATTCCTTTGTTTCTACTAAAAACATTTAAGAAAAAAAATATTTTTTAACACTAGTCTGCAATGATCTTGATGTTTGCCCTGGAAATAAGATCGATTTTGGATATAATTGTACCCACAATTCTTGACCCTGTCATTGATTTTGTAAGATTTAATCTTTTTTTTTTTTTTTTTTTTTTTTTTTTTTTTTTTTTTTTTTTTTTTTTTTTTTTTTTTTTTTTTTTTTTTTAAATCTTTATTTATATTTTGCATTACAAAAATAAGAAACAGTAGACAAAATAACAGATGTACATATGTATTTATAGTATCAGTTTTGAAAAATGTGGATTCGTTGAAGTAAACAGAGATATAAATGTCGAAAACATGTGTCATATGTAGCTTTTAATTTATAATTTTCTAGTTGGCAATCTGTTTTAAAGTCCAGAAAGTCCAGCCATATTGGTTAGCTCTCAACAAATTTGAGAACTATCCTCCGTCACTTTTAGATCCATCGCATCTCTGTTTCTCACAATAATTGTATAAATTGTTGGTAAATGTATCCGTATGATTGCGAATATAGCCTAACTTCATACTCAGCGTAGATGTGCCTCCTCCCGTTCACTTAATCTTAAAAATTATACCGATGTCGAGATATTTGGCGAAATGATTGTTCCTGAGAGCATGAGAAACTCAAAACAAGATTTTTATTGAATAGAATTGGACATTAAGTAGACTGTAGGTTTGAAAAGCTCCACGTTTTATCTCTATTAAACCCTAAAATCTTCCGAATTATTTTTAGCATATTTTCGGTAAGAAGCCTGAGCTGGGGATCCCGTGATGTTTCTGCGAAAAAGTTAGGAAAGAGAATACTAACCACGACTGGAAAGAATTTGTTTTTACTACGAACATGTCGATAATTGGTGAAAATATACGAAATGCAAGTATCATAAAACAAGAGCACATCCAATACTTTCATGAATAGTTTCGTAATCTGGACACTTGAAGCTATCAAAATTTGCGAAGATTTCCCGGGTTACAAAAAAAAATTGGTTCTTTCAATAGAGCCGTATAATCTAAGTTCTCTAACAGTTTTAAGGTTTTTACGCTCTATGATGGCAATCTGTTGAATTGTCTCTGAGAATTTTTTTACGTGTATTACTTTAATCCTAACTAAACCGCCTACGGGCATATACCGATCCCCCCGGTACCACCATCAAGTATTTCATGGCGAAGATATTTGAGCAAACGTTTTTAATAGTCTCAATGTGTTCAATGACCTCTGTTGGTCACTGAATCCGCCGCGTCCAATGATTGTAGTGATATGTTTCATTCTGGAGTTCTCTCTCTAAAGCTCATGAACCTATAAGGTCCGTTTGGAAAAAATATATATTTTCAGAAAGGGCTTAGACTTTTATACTTACATAGCATATTTTTCCAAATACTGTAATGTATTTTTATACTTATATTTCAGACTTAATTCATCGCCAAGCCATTTCAGACGCCATAGAGGTTTTGGAAGCGCGTACCTGCTTAAAATTCCATGAGGCCAGTGAAGCCTCCAAGCAATACGTGGCAATTTCTTCCATGGCGGGTGGCTGCTACACCGCTGTTGGCTATCAGGCCAAAGTGCAGACAATGAACTTGGAGAATTATCCAGTTGGTGAGGGCTGCTTCCGAGCGGGCACCATATTGCACGAGTTCATGCACGCGCTCGGCTTCTATCATCAACAAAGTGATAGCAATCGCGATAAGTACATACACGTTGTCTACGACAATATTGTGCCAGGTAAAGAGCCAAACTTTGAAAAATACGACGCGTCATTTGTGACCGATTTCGATGTGGGTTACGACTATGATAGCTGCCTACATTATAGACCCGGCGCATTTTCAAAGAATGGTAAAGACACGATTGTGCCGTTAGACGCGACGGCAGTTATCGGTCAGCGAGAACATTTGAGTAAAAAGGATATAAACAAAATTAATATCATGTACAAGTGTCCCATACTGACCTAAAAGTGCATTACTCCAATAACAGATCAAATACGCATTATAAGTGATACAACTAATGGATTATGTAAATATTTAACATATTTGTGATATCTTATTGCTATTAATTTATTTAGTTTTAAGTAACTTCCTATTAAATAAATTAAAATAAATAATAAAACTTAAAACCCATACCAACATTTGCAGCGATACTCTCTTATTCCAACGAAAATTATGTTGCATGTATATCAGGAATGTAATAAAACGTTTTTCGTTCTAAGATGAAAACTATCAGAGGAGATATTTGGGTAGTTATGGATTGGTGGAGGAGTGCCTGAGCTCGCTGTAAATAGCATCGGGTGTCCTTTCATTTGGCCTAAGATTGATCGCAGAAGATCTAGTGATATTTTGTGATTGGCGGCCATGCAGTAAGGTTGGGAATCCTACTAGACACCGTTTTCAGAAGCTGTTTGGAAGAAGATGAGGTAGAAACAACTCAAAACTTCTTGACGGAGTTAAAATAAAACGCCTATGCAAATGTGTATTGATTACTAACCGATTTGACAATCAGTAAGTCTGAACATTATTTTCTTTGGCTGCAAAAGGTCTACATATACCATAGTCCACCTACGATCATCGTTCAGCCATCTAACCTAACCTAACCACATTTACTGTGGATCTTTGCGAAACGTTTCTCGAAGCGAATATACCATTAAAATAAGATTAACGATACAAGTTTTAAATATTGTTTTTTCGAATTATGTCGACTAATAAATTCCCTGTGAATCAAAGTTGTGGCAGAGATATGTAATTATTCTGTGCAACAAAGTCTTAACTGAGCGAAATACAAAAGCTGCCAATAATTATATTTGGATATCTTTAGATGAGAGAGCAGACCCGAGGTAACGACTTTTCGAAGTATTGGCGAGTGATTTACATGACGAACAAAAAGTTATTTATTCAATGTTGCGCCTGTTGATGCCGCCAATGCTACCGCTGGAGCCGTCTTTCTTAACGACAGTTTGCACTTACTTTGGTCAAACGGTGAGTTAAACTTTGTATTCAAATCAGGACGTTCAGTTGCTAATTCGTATATTTTCTATTTCGATCAACTTCAAGGCAGTATACAAAGTCCTACTAATTTTTACGGATACAGCATCATATATGCTGGCTACTGGTAATGCGCACTTGCCTTTCGCATGGATTACATAGTTTAGCAGAGTTTGTGCACAATTTTCTGCTTTTAACAGTTTCATTTCAAGATTACATTATTCTGATTATTTAGATTCATTTAATAGTGACGATGTTGAGGTCATTCGATTGTCCCAGGAGAGCTTAAGTCACACCGCTTATTTACAGACCTATATAAAGAGGACTTTCTAGCCTTATTAAGGATATTGTAAGATTCGAAACCCTAAGTATAGAAATCAAACATTCTATTTGCCTTGTCGAGGAAGATATATGCTACAGTAATCCGATCCAAACAATTTTTTCGGAGATTATATTATTACCTTAAGCAGTAATCCATGTCAAATTTCGTGAAGATAACACGTCAAATGTGAAAGTTTTCCATACAAGAACTTGATTCCGATCGTTCATTTTGTATGGCAGCTATATGCTATAATGGTCCGATATCGGTAGTTCCGACAAATGAGCAGCTTCCTGCAGAGAAAATGATGTTTGTAAAACGATATCTTACAACTGAGGGACAGACAGACGGATATGGCTAAATCGACTCAGCTCGACATACTGATCATTTATATACATATTTTATAGGGTCTCCGACCCTTCCTTATGGGTGTTACAAACTTCGTGGCAAACTTACCGTGCGATTCTGTACTGTGATACAGTATCAAGTCTCTAAATTTGAGATTTTAAGTTAGAGAAAATTTTTGAGACCTGAGACGATTTTGCTATTCTGTAAGTGGCAGTGACAAAATCTATTACAATTCATTATTTAGAGATGTTTTTATACTTGAATGAAAATAAATATGTCGACAACAAATATTAAATTTTCTATAACATATATAGAGACTGGTTACAGAATCCCGCTATTAATATACCTTTCTTCAACGAAGCTGACTCTATTTTCATACTGACCCGAGTCATCTGCAGACGTCGAACGAAGCTACTCCGGATATGCAAATATCTTAACTGAAAAACGAAAATCTTTTGTATTTGATCTTTTGTATTTGATAATTAATAATAATTAATAATCAAGAAGAACATACATTGTAAGAATAAATACATATTAGAAGACATTTTGTGTTCTCCTTAAAAAAAGAGAATATTTTTAACACGCAAATATTTTAACAATCATCAAAGTTGCCAACAATTGAAAATCATTTAAACGATGGTACAGAAGGATTGAGGTACTTTTAAGAATTAGATCAATTTTATATATTACAACAGTTGCGCTTGCTAGAGGAGCAAAGCCATAGTTAATAGAAACGAATTAAACTGATTTCAGAACCGCTAAATTTCTCTCCAAGATCTCTTCCACAAGATCTATAACATTTCTTTAAAGGGAATGAAGCAAGTTATGAACAAAAGTTGGCTAAGAATATGGTTTCCAGAGTGTGCTGAAGACATAAGTTAACGAGTGTGTGAAAAATACTTTGAAAATATTGCCCAATTATTATATAATTTAAAATGGCAACTAATGCAACTATACGGTATGAAATATAAGAAAATAAAATTTTTATTAAGGAAAATATCCGCCAGCACTTATAATCGTACAAAATATTATTAATACTAAAATTATACATTTGGAAACCCCACGGAGATAGGAACACAAGCACTTCGGAAACCATAGCAAAGTCAGCCCAGATTGCACGTAATCTCACAGCGAAACGATTGCTTCATAATGGAAATATATGCTACTCTGGAATGAATCTAAATTCATTATTAAAGGGTCATTATTATCAGGAATTAAAAATTCCTTCATGAAATAAAATAAATTATGGATTTATTTCTGTACACAAATGACTTAGAGATCATCTGCAGACGTGTTCGAGGCTTCATTAGAACAATGACCCAAACATCATTTTCAAAGGCATTCGCAATGCCTCAAAGATAGGCTGCCGTTGCCAATTGTACTCTTTATTCGCTGTTTTCATTGAAAAAACTTTTGTTCAATTCTTATGCTCTAAACAGGATATATTAAATTTGCAATGCTTTTAACACTCAAAAGGAAACTTCGAAGACTCCTTGTTTATATAAGTGAACAGCATGAAAAAGTGAGCCGATTAACCGTATGTATATATACAAACTAGTGCCGTAGTTTTTGAGATATTGATATTGTAATAGGACTGATTTTCTTCGGCCGCGACTGTACTTCGGTGGAGGGCATCCAGCCTAGCCAGCAAACGAACGGCTGCTCAGTTGTCTCTGAGCACCTGGAGAGTCAAGAGCAGAGGCACGCGATTAAAATCTGCCACAGAGACGTTTGATATGATCAAGCAGGCTTATCCAGATGTTGTTTTAGCAAGAAGTTGTGTGTTTCGGTGGCAAGAGGTCTTTTTGAAAGCGACTTCGACAAATACCGACAATGTGACTCGTGTGCGCAAAGTTCTGAACTTGGATCGTCGACTAAGTATTCGTTTAATTGCCCAGATATTAAATTTATCAAAATCTGTGGTCCATGACATTGTGACGGAGCATTTGAATATGCACCACGTGTACGCGAAGATGGTCGCAAAAGTGCTCACTGACGACCAGAAATTGCGGCGAGTGGAAGTGTGCCAAGTAACGTTTAACATGTGTGAAAGAGACCCCAATTTTTGAATAACGTAATCACAAGTGACGAGTCATGGATCTTCGAGTATGATCCCGAGACAAAGAGACAATATTCCGAGTGGCACACGCCAACAGAGCGAATCCAAGCAGCATGCACCTCGTCTCTCAAGACTATTCCGGAGAATGCCTTAAGTGACGACTTTAATGCTTGGACATCGCGCTGGCAACGCTGCATCGACGCAGGAGCAGCCCAACTCCTATTGTGCTAAAAATTTCATCTGTAAATGTATTAAGGCTTAAGTATAGCCGATTTTATAGTTTTTTCTAGTTTTTTGTTAAAAATATTATTTCAGATTAAAGGTTATTTCCCTCAAATGATTTCGTTTATTCAATTTTTAGCCAACTGTATTATACATTATTCATTATAAAATCAGAGACCTTGCGTATTTCTCTCTAATATATGTAGCTGAAAATAGGCTTTCGTAAGATCTAAGTGGCTGGGAGATGGCTGAGAGATTTGAAATGCGCCACATGAAAACAATTGTTGAAGGCGCTCATACCTCAATATCGCTGACATGTAACTGGTGTAGGTGCGTGCATTACACGCCGAAATGTATGAAATTTATGCGAAAACTGAATGTCTTATTTTCAATTTACAGTTAGAGACCGCAAAAATACAATAAGCCAGCGCATAGACGCTAGTAAATGTGTGAATTTACTAAAGTGCAAATATGCGCACCCGGATGGCAGTGCAACAACAACAACGCCCATAATCATACTTATGAGTGAGCGTGTGGCGCGTGGCGTGTGGGTATTTGTTGGTGTGTTTAAACGCTTTTTCAGCTACTGTTGCATATATTTTATGTAAATATGAGCTTGCGTCGGCAACTTGCAACGTCAGCAGCAAACTCTATACATACACCATACACGCGCACACACACGTGAACCGTGTACATAAGTACTGCGGCATACTGTCTGATAGTGTGAGCGATTGTAGTGTGGCTGTGGCAAGAGCAAGAGAGCCGCAAATCCAGTGTTTTGTCGGCCCAACTTGAAGGCATTCATGAGCACTCTGTTTCAAGCACAGGCACACGCATACACATTCGCACACTCACAAGCGCTTTGGTGGCATATGTCAAGCCATAAATTGCCATAAATTTGATTTCAACTTCCGCTTCGACATGCTCCGAAATCGCATTCGCACTCATGTCCTCGGAGTGTCGGTGTGGCAAGCGGCAATGGCAATGGCAGTCGAGTTACGCTTTCTGCGGCTTTTATTATTTTGGTTTCCAAACTTTGTCTCAATCTGAATCGCAGTCGCACTTTTGCCTGACTTTGTGTGTTTTATGTAAAATTAAAATGTTCAAATATGTACCGCCTGAGTTTCACTTGGGGTAGGCCAATGGCAACGGGCGCATATTGGCTCTTGAAGTTATTATGCAGCTTCGATGGCGCCTAAAAGTATGCTCAAAATATAGGAGCACAGTGTGTCGCCATATGTAAGATATTGAGGTTAATAAAATGCCATAAAACTTTAATCTAATATTACTGAAAAACGACTAAGCTACTA